GTCTTTCAGTCTGAGTTAACAGTGTGATGGTCTGAGGTCAGAAGCTTCTCCTCATTCAGCAGATGATGCAGGTGAATCGTTTCATGTAGCTGTCCTGCAAAGTGGGGAGGATGGTCTTAATGGTCCTGTCAGTGGTGTGGATCACCACCTTAAACACACACTACACAGGAAGCTCAAGCTTCCAGGCCTCTGGTAGGGCAGTGGTCCCCAACCCCTGGGCCACAGACCGGTCCGTGAGTCGTTTGGTACCAGGTTTTTATCGTTAACTCATTTCCCTGGGTCTTTTCCCGTGTGTTATGACTAAGTCTTATTTCTTTATTTTGTTGTATTTATCCGGTCCGTGAAAATACTGTCGGACCTAAACCGGTCCGTGCGCACCCATGGCCGCCTACAGGGGCGAGATAGACCTCGTCCTCCATTATACCAGATATTGATGCAATTTCTTATCATCAGTTGAACAATGACAGCAACTGGTAGTAAGTTAATATTCTACATTTTAATGTTAAACTTGAGGGTGTAAAAACACATTTAAGCTCCGTCAAACTCATTTTACACTCACACCAAGTGTGAAAATCTAAAGCTACAACATGTTCTTGTTCCTCACTGTTGTTCAGTAACCATCTCTGAGCATCAGTGTTGTGGAATGTGTCATAGTTTCAGCTCCAAATGTAAAGGGGGACACATGGGAGCAGGAACAAGTAAGATATCTGATGTGTTTAGAAAGTCATTTCTAGTTAAAAGAACTTTTGAATCGTCTTTATGTCATTGAGGAGTTATTATAGGTTATAGTAGGAGGATACAGTCTACATCAGTCATGCGCAGAAACTGCTAGCTGCCTGTTTATCTACCCCTAGGTGTGTGTGTGTGTGTGTGTGTGTGTGTGTTGTGTAAATATCATGTCAGTCCTCTGGGATTTCCCCACTGATGGGATGATGAGGTGACACATGTCTCTGACCTGCAGTAGCCTTTAAACACCAGGGAGTGTGTGTGTGTGTGTGTGTGTGTGTGTGTGTGTGTGTGTGTGTGTGTGTGTGTGTGTGTGTGTGTGTGTTCGAAACTACCCCCACTGAATGTACGAGCTCATCTGTGCCAGACAGTTGCACCTGGAGACCAGCTGTCTCCAAGGCAACCAGGTGAGCCAGGCCCTCCCCTCAGGCAGGGCTGTGTCGTCTGTGGCTCAGCAGGTTGTGTAGTCGTTTGCGTCACTCTTCTTGCCAGTTTGTTTATTATGAATTCTTGGTTTTATTGCTGAGATGCTCTAATTCTAATTATCCTCATCAGGTTCCTCTGACTGACACGCTGAGTGTGACACGCTCTGCGGGGTATAAGCTGAGGATGTGACTCGCTGCCGTCCATATCTCCACTGTTAGATTGTATTTTTCTCCGCTCCTTGCCAGCCTCAAAGATGTGTTGGCAAAGGAAATCCCCGACTACACTTTCATGATCCGTTCTTTAGGCCGAGTCAGCTGAAGGGTAACGCACATGTAAAACCATGTT